TTTGAAGGGGATTTCACCCTCAAACAAACCCCCCCCATAAGCCCCCCAAACCAAAAAAAAAAAAAAAAAAAAGAGCAGAAAAGAGAAATGCTATTGAAAGAACAGCTGTTAATGTCATTGCCTTTCCACAGAGAAAAGGCCATCCCGGCCTGCTTCAAACTCTTCTGTGAATATTAGAGGTTACAAGATTAAGCACTGAGCGATGTTTATCCTTTAGAGAGTACAAAGAGTGCTAATGGATAACAAAGGGAGAGAGCGGGAGCGAGAAGGTTAGAGGAAGGCTGAGAAAAAGTGAAATTGTAAAATATGAACATTTAGGCGCTTAAGGGCTTTTTAATTTCAAACATTTTTGAGAAAGAGTGTCCAAATTTAGAAGAGACAGAAATTAGCAATACGGATAGTGTTTTAGTCATAGTTTGTGTCTTCTGACAAAAATGTAGTTAAATGTAGTCAATATTTCATCACGTCATATGTCACATTTTAATAATAATAATAACCTTAAATTGTATGCCCTTGCTGAATAAAGGTATTACTTTCTATCAAAACGTTTGAACAGCAGGATATGTACAAAACAAAGAAAATGTGTCAAACTGTAACAGATTAAACTTTAATCACATTTGCAAACATTTTGAAATGTATAAAAAATCTCCACCATATATGACTGAATTATAAGAATCAATTCTTTCAACATTTATCTTCTTAAACAACTTCTAGTGCATTGCTGTTTATATCTTTTAGTTTTCATCAACAGTATATTTTTCCATTATAAACAGTTTCATTATATTCACAGTGCAGAGGCATCTCATCTTCAATGCTGTAATAAAAAAAACATCATCTAGAAACAAAATGCCAATAAAAAGTTGATCCGATAACTTGTGAAATGCAGTTCTTGATCTGTGGTGTTAAAAAATCTACTGTGTTTTAAAGGTGAGCGATAGCATTGCTTATTAGTGTTAATTCATCACTTCCAATAAAGAAATGGTTCAGAACAACTCTCAACCACGTTCACTTCCTCAGGCCTAAAGTCCTTCACCCATATCAACAGATCACATGAACGTCATCTCCTGACAATACCAGTTATTATGAAACATCCTGTGGTGAGCAGGAAATTATATGAATCCATTCAGAGCAATTCAGAGACTGAAAGGATGTGTCAGTATTAGTAATAGAGTCAGGAGAGATGCTCAGAGTCAATAAGGATGCCTGATCATCAGATGAAGAGAAAAGGGAAAGTAGTTTTCATCCACCAGTAGGCAGTCTGTCCATCATTTGAAGTACATAGGTAATTGCTCAAATCTCACTAATGTGTGCTTATCGTAAGCTGTATCCATCATCAATCAGGTTCAGTGCCTCATCGCACAACAAGGAACATAATGAGAATAAGGTGATGATACAGTTGTCATGATGTCAGCTCAGAAACTTCAGAAATGATCAAGCGAAAATGAAGAGTAACTGAACAAGACATTTCATTCACTTATGCAGAAGATGAGATCTGAAAACACTGACTGCAAAGAAAATGCTCAAAACTTAAAGAGTGACTGGTTTAAAAAGTTTTATTAAAATTGATCAGTGACAAGAGACCGTAGAAAGCTATACAATCTAACATTAGAACCAGGCAATTATTTAAAATGTGCCCTAGCAGAATTTGTGTGTTATTTAAGACTGAAGTGTTTTACATAAAATGATTTCATGCGGTGTCTTTTTTTGACAAAATTCTATATGTTCAGCATTGTGTGAGGATTTAAGTTTACATTTGGTCAGCGGGTTATGTGAGAAATAAACCTGAGGTGAATTTTGACTTTTGGCGAAAAAGGGAAAACAAAGAAAAAAAGCGAAAAAAGCACAAAACATTTGCCGAATAAATTCCTCCATGTGCATTAAAAAAAAGTCATGTGAATTTGCACTATTGGACGGCATAACCTGAGTAACCAGCAGACCGATCTTGTTGCACAGCATCTGAAATGTTATGGTCATTCTTAAATAAGACTTCAAAGTCTGTCGTCAAAGTATTTCTGTATAATTATAATCTTACATGACTGCATTCCCAAACAGTAGCATCCACCCCCGAAAGCAATGACCACATTTATTGTGTTTCGTCAACTCGCTCCAAGTAATTTAATATATATGAAAATTATTATATTCAGTGGCTTCTCCTACATTTTTTTGTGATATTTAGTGCCAGTTTATCAGGAATTGACGATATCGTTCTCTTTGACTCGTTGGATGGAAACGGTGCTTATCCGCAAATGTTTTATGAAATATTCAAATTTTGCACATAAGAGAAATTCACAACTTTAGATGGAAAGGTGGAAAGGTGCCATGCTCACCGTAAATTTCTCCAGTGTAAATGTGAGAGGTGTCATAGGGAATCTCTTCTCCAGAAACTTCCACCTTCAGATCGGGAGCGAAGAGAGAGGTGTCCCTCTTCATTCGAAGGTTAAAATGCCTGATGGAAGGAGAGAGAGAGAAAGAGAACAAGATTAATGGACTGTGAAATTGCCCGTGAGTGTACAAAATGTGTCCCAACAGAGGTGGATACAAGACACACAATATTTGAGATGCTGTGCAACACACACCGAAATACTAACAGTCTGAGCCAAGTCAGAATAAGAGTCATGATGCAGAGCATTACTGAAACTATGAGATAAAGGAGGAACAAGGGAAATCTGCCAAACAGCATTTCTCACTGCCAAAAAGTTTTTTCTCATTTATTTTTCTCCTTTATAATCAAAAACATATCTTCCCTTCCGATTAATCAATTTCCAATTGGCACATTATGTCATTAGGATTTTCTAGAAACACTAGGTGCTGGTGAGTGACTCACAGCGATTCAAAATGATTCATCTGGGTTATTAACTTGACACACTTCTACACGGTGATGCTCTGACGTGTCGAAATTTATAATTGAGCGTGTGCTGGATGTCTAGTTGAAGACATGGCGGATTAATGAGAGAAAAAAATTTCACTGAGTAAAAGAATGTTACAAGAATGATAAACACAAAAATAAAGAAATTATGATAACTATATTAGTATCCACACCAGAGCATAAAAAAGTTTTATTTAAGCATGCACTGCAGTTTTGTCGTCTGCCACTTTAAATGCTCAAGCTCTTTAAAACAGGAAGAATTCAATGTTTTTATTGTTCATTAGCTGGGAAAAAAGTCATTCTGAAAGTGGTCTCAACATTATCATTCCCCTGTGTCTTTATCGTTATAGTTATGGTGTGGACTTCCCTATTTTCAAAGAATTAACGATTATTATAGCTTTATAGTTATCTTTACAGTTATCATCATTGGTGTGAATGTGCCTTAAGACTCCACCATCAGGCCCAGAATCAATCTCTCTGATACAAATTTACATGCTCGAAATCTTAGGATCTGTAGAATGGGTTTAAAGTACTTCACTCTTCATAAAAGCCAAAATAACCATCGAATCTGTAATATTTTTAATAGAAAGGCAAATGCTATAATGCTCTTTTCATATACCTTTCACTTTCTTTGTTTAAAAGTTCTGTCTAATTTTTTATTAGACAGAACTGTTATACAATGACAGTAAATTATGAAGATGGAGTCTGCTTTCTCTCAGGCGCTGGCATTTCTTTTGCTGTTTCTGCTTTTGACACTTATTAAAAAAAACATATCGGCTGACGGCAATAATAAAAAAAACAAAAAAAACAACATATCAACCATGGCGATACATCAATTGCCCAATATGTTTTAATAAACAAACATACAAGGGGTGGGGAATGTATATGGCATTACAAGTCAATTAATACCCACAGAAGAGAGAGAGAGAG